TTCTTTTCTAAATTTTCTTCTCGCAAAGGCTAGAACCCTGAAAACTAATGAACTGCTCAGATATGCCAAACGAAACACCAACTAGGCTGACAAAACCTAATTCCGCCACAAAACAAGAATACAACCGATCGTTTCTTCCTGCCTTTAATTAATTTCCTTATTTGGTTGATTTGTTGGCCTTCAGCCCAGATTTGTCAGCTACCGTCTATTCTCCATTTGTTCAACGTTTGCAGATTTTTTTATATCTCGAGTTTTTATTCTGGAATATTTTTCAGCAGGATCTGAAAATCAGACAAGCCACCTTTATGAATTTTCTTGCACAACAGATGGGTTTTTTCATCACAGTCAGACCTGCATGGGCAGCCAAGCTGCAAACGTGCACATTGTGCGTTCATGTCTCGTGTGTTCTTGTAAATGTCATGCTCTTGTTTCCTCTTTGTTGAGGGCTCCAAAGCAAATTCTCTATCCATTTATTTTAAAAAAATTGCACGCTCTGTGTTGAAATAATACGACCAGTCTACCAGATAGGCCTTAAAACAGAACTGAGATAGAACAGATGTCAAAGATGGCAGAAATAGGAAGTATTAGCGGTTTGAAAATTATTGTAAGCAACACACCGGTGCCTTTGGTCCCCACTGACAGGAATTTAAGAGTCATAGATGCAAATGTAAAAATGTTCACACTTATGACACGGTTACAAAAGATACAGAATGAGGAAATATGTAGAAAAATACCATATTTTTCTCTGTATAATCTCACCTTTTTGCATAAATTTGCAAGTCCTGCAACTTATGCAACGAAGCAACTAATATATGTTTTATTTTTCCATATTTATAACCCAATTTTTGGCTGAGATCTGACAATTTCATTCATTCTGACATGGAAAATATTGAACACTACCATTTTCAGCCACTAGAGCACCCTGAACAGATAAGGCAAGCCAAGTGTCTCATTAATAGGTAAAAGTGGCTATTAATGAGACACTTGACTTGCCAAAGTAGGACACCTTCATCTCGTTTTGGAACTCCTGGAGCAAACTTCAAAATCAGCTGCATTTCGCCACACCGCCCAGGTGAAATGCAGCTGATTTTGACCATTAAAGTGCATTTATTAAGGAAAAGTTCAACTGAGACACACCTTTGCTATAATTCTGAGTAAGCAAATAATTGTTTTTAAGCGTTAATCTGGTTAAATTCTTGTTAAAGTCCTCCTGTACACACTCACGCGGCCGACATTTGGCAGCCAATCGATTTTTGGCACAACACCAGCCCATGTTTCCGGGTGGTCAGCGGTGTCGCATAATAGATGCGACTTTACGGCGAAGTGACATATTTATGGTTTTTTCCATTTTATTAGACATATTTGCACTGATGCGACTTATATGGCGGTGCGACCTGTACGATGGCAAGTACAGTAAAAGTGCTGCAGAAATGAATTAGTGTGAATAAAATATATTAAAATATTAAAATATATAACATTCATTTAGGCTACTTTGTGCGACATGAGTCATCAAAATGTTTTAATCTTTGGAATGTGAGGTGGCACACCTAAAATAAATATGTGAAGGTCTGAACCTGAAATGTGGTAGGTAATATATAAAAAAAATGTCTACAGTGAATACTTCATGTTTTTTTATTAAGTAAAGCATGTTTTTAAATCTATTCAAATCTCATTATTGCCTTAATAAAAGCTCAGAACAATTGAGTTCATGGTTCATATTTATGGGGGAAAAAAACACTCGTCAAGACGTTCTGTGGATTTTAAAACCCTAAAATTCACTTAAATTTAAAGAAAAACGTTACAAGAAAAACATTTTTAAGATGAAATTTAGGTCCAGGCACTAAAATGTAAATGTGGTCTTGGATTTCTTGAATAAATGCACATCGCCTTTCATGTGAAAGGTTTAAACGGAAATCATCTTCAGATGATGAATGACAGAGTTGTAACTGTTTTGGTCAAACCTTGAAAATAATATGAGAGTCCCAGCTACGACCGCACCAAGCTTAGTGCAATGTCTGCAAAACGTTACAGCTTTTTGTGTTTGTCAGGGTTGTATGGAGCATTTTGAATGTGCTTGATTCCAAAAGTTTTTCTGTTCTGACTCTGAAATTTTTATTAAAATCTATATCCATTGACGCACGATTTACTAAAAAAAGGTCATAAAAAAAACATGCAGCGTAATAATAATAATAATAATAATAATAATAATAATAATAATAATAATAATAATAATAGCATAATACTACAGTTCATTACAAAGAAAAACAAACAAATAATCCTTGAAACGATCCTTTAAAGTTATTTTAGCATATGACATTATTGTTATTTTAAGTGAACAATCAGAGAACATCCAGTTTTAGGCCTCTTTTGAAGGTATAGCACATGCAGCTTCAATAAATGACCCACTTGTAAATGTCAGTGAGTACATAAACTTGTGTTATTACTGTACTATACATGAAACAACAGTAATGATGTCATTTGAAATATATTTCTATAAACACGGGTCCAGCCATTGCGTGAGATGTGGATCTCCTCCTACCTCCACCTCTACAACTGCACCTATTAATGAGGGTTCTCTTTTTTTCATTGAAGTAACAAAAACAAGAAGCTGCAACCGCTGTCAGCATTAGCAAATGTACTTTTAATTCAATACAGTTTATTTATATAGCACCAAGTCACAACAGAAGTCATCTCAGGACACTGAACAGAAACATTCATATATAAAAACAATGTATTTGTCTGAGGAGCAGACTGCTTTGAATTTAACTCCATCACAGAACTCTCATCTTGAGCAAACATGATGGCAACAGTGGAAAGAAAAAAACTCCCTCATGAGGAAGAAACATTTAGCAGAACCAGGCTCAAGACAAGCGACCATCTGCTTCGACCAGCTGGGTTTGGTAGGAACAGATACACAATGGCAGGTCAAGAGTGACATGTTGAGATAGAAATAATATCAAATGAAAACTATTCAATTTTAACAATTAATTTAAGGAAATTAGGTCAGTTTGTTCACTAGCAGTCTAAGCATATAGCAGCATAACAAGCCAACACTAACTATAGGATTTATCAAAATGGAAAGTCTTAAACCCAGTCTTTAAACTGGACAATGTGTCAGCCTCACGGACAGAAACTGGAAGTTGGATTCACAAGAGAGGAGCCTGATAACTGAAAGATCTGCCTCTCATTATGCTTTTGGAAACTCTAGGAACCGCGAGTAAAGCCTGCAGTCTGAGAGTGAAGTGCTCTGTTAAGAAAATATAGAACAACAAGATCTCAAATATCAGATGGAGCTAGGTTGTTGAGAGCTTTGTAGGTTAGAAGTAAGATTTTGAATAAAATTCTGGATTTGACAGGGAGCCAATGGAGAGAAGATACAATTGGAGAGATATGATCTCTCCTACTAATTCCAGTTCAGACTCTGGCAGCAGCATTTTGGATCAACTGAAGACTTTTTAAAGAAGTATTTGGACACCCAGATAACAACCAATTGCAATAGTCCAGTCTAGACGCGACAAATACATGAAACAGTTTTTCTGCATCATTTTTAGATAAGATGTTTCTAATTTTAGCGATATTGCGCAGGTGGAAGAAGGCAGTTCTAGTAACGTTTTCAATATGGGAGATAAAAGACATGTCCTGATCAAAAATAACACCAAGATTTTTAACATTAGAGCTGGAGGCCAGATTAATGCCATCCAAGGAGGGAGAAAGACTGAACATTTTATTCCTAAGATGTTCAGGTCCAAAAACTAAAACCTCAGTCTTGTCCGTGTTCAAAAGCAGAAAAATTAGGGTCATCCAGGTTTTTATGTATTTAAGACATGCTTGTAGTCTAAGTTGATGATTCGATTCCTTGGGTTTCATGGACAAATAACTGTGTATCATCAGCATAACAATGAAAATTTAACCCATTCTGTTTGTTGTTTATATTGCCTAATGGAAGCATATGTAAGGTAAAGAGTATTGGTCCAAGCACTGAACCCTGAGGAACTCCATGATTAACTTTGGTATATGATAAATATTCATTATTTACATTTACAAATTTTTAATGACTTTTAATGACTTTTAATGACCGGGTAGATTGGAGCAGGGTTTTTTTTTCTTTGCATGTTACAGAGGTGTTACCAAAGAGCATCCGCTGCAGATTCAGACAGTATATTAAACTGGTCCTGAATGCACCGTTTCTGTGTGCAGCATTACAGGTTGCACAAAGCCAGAAATCTTTTACAGACAGAAAACAAACAAGCTTTTAAAAGACCTTTAAAAAACTGTGAGATGGTTTAAAAGTGGCCTGAAGTAGCACACACTGGCCACTGGAACATTTTGTGGTATTTACAGACGTGCATGCAGCAACCGGCATCCTGTTTGCAAGCTGGACTACCTACTGTGTGTGTGTGTGTGTGTGTGTCTGTGTGTGTGTGTGTGTGTGTGTGTGTGTGTGTGTGTGTGTGTGTGT